ATGGCCATCAGTCTAGACTTTCTGTCTGCTCTTCGTAGTGATTTTGTATACTTCTGCTATGGCATTCCATCTCAAATTCCATACCTCCTTTTATGTGAATGACAAATACTGTATAAATTTGGTGTAATGTCTAAACAATCACTTGGCCATTTACGCCTGGTTTAAACAGCTGAGTCTTCACAATTGCAAGAGAAATAGTGGGAAAAGAAATGAAGAAATTTGCAAAATATCCTTCTTTGGTCTTTGGCACCTCACGTGACACCAAAAGCTGAGGGTTTTAATTATGACGTTGTCTGTATGTTTATAATATTACTTTGACTGGTTACTTGACATCTTGAAGGTCCTCATCCTCTTCTCTGAGTCCTGGTACAACAAATTTCATCAGGACTGTTCCATATGTGTACTGCTAGCAAAATTTTGATTAGTATCCTTGAAAGCAGACTCAGTAGGTGATTTAAGTGGGCATGCAACATGAGAGGTACTCATAGTGTTGGTAGTGCAGTGATAATGGAGCCTGTCTGCTGTGGTTCTTACTGTCCATCAGCAGTGAGTCTGTGTTGCAACCTCTCTATAAATCTCTTCTGCTGTTCTCATGAAGCATAAAGGAACACATTTGAAATGTACAGCACTTGCAATATTCTAATTGGGTCTTCAAGATGAGACACTCTCATGCATACCAGATAACTGTGTAATTTTTGTGCTCTTTAGGAAACCCAGCCTTAAAAGACTTGCAGAGAAATAGGGAGCTGATTTTGGTTTTATCACAACATTCTGGAGAATGATTAAAGAATGTGGATTCCAGTGGGGAAAAACAACTGCAAGCAACTTCTTTTAAAAGATTGTGGAAAATTTTTCCAGAGGGAAGTCATGTAAATGACTGATGAACTGGAGAAAGTGTTCTTCTGGGAGGAGGGACTTCACTCTCTTTGCCTCACCAAGAAGGGCAAGAAGAGTATTGATTATGTGTATTTAATATCAGACCTTAAAATGCTACTCAAACTATCAGAGAAAGTCTCCTAAAACCCAAGGGAGGGAGATGTAAGCCAGACAACTTAACCATTAAGAGACAAAGAAAAAGGCATGTATTTTTATTAGCAATGAAAATGATTATACATTAGAGAAAGTGGATAGTTCAGACTCTGAAATTACAATTGGCAATCACTTTCTGGAGGCAGTCTTCTGCCAAGCACCAGTCATTTAGCTCAATGCTATGCTCTGTGCTGTGCAGAAGTTGTAATGGTCACATGTGTGATAAAGTATTAAGACCTATTGTTTGTGACCAAGGGGAAACACTTTCACTCTGTCACATTTAATTTTAAATTGTGGGCAGAAAGATTTTAATAATTTATACTGCTGAGTATTCTGCTGTCCATGGCTGGATTCAGTCACATCCAACACCATGAATTCAATGTAGTGAGGTGATTCTGAGTTACCTGTTCTGCTGGAACCCATTCCAGAACATGGTGTGACCCTCTCTGTTCAGCCTCACTATCAAAGGTAGGTTACCTGGGGAGTGCAATCCCATGCTTGCAGATAGATGTTGCAGGATAAGGCTGATGCATCATTTCCAGTGTGACATGATGTTTGCTAGTGAGTGAAATACCTAGAATTCCAACTCTGTTGGTGAGATGTCTCTGAGACCCTGAGATGAGAAGAGAGACATTTTCTGCAGCTGTACTCCCTGTTGCTCTGTGACTCCTTGCAATCATCCATGGAAGGCCCCTGCTTCAAAGAGTATGACTGTGTGATTATTAGTTAACACCATGGCTTCTTCTGGCATTTACCCTCCTTTAATTTGTTTGGTCTTCCTTCATATTTTATATTTCATTCTTCTCTTGAGTGTTTCAACTCAATTTAGCTTTTAGCTTAATGGAACATATTCTTGACAGTAATCAGCCAAGATTTTAAACCAGAGATGATTTGCTCTTAAAATTTCAAATGGCAACTCAAAAACACTTGCTATTTAGAATCAAGAGAAGGAAAATACCTAGCTGCCATTTGAATGTCTGTATACCTTTGCCTGTGAGACGATGTTGTGAGATGATTTCTTTGGTAATTCAGTTATGCCACCTCTTTTGCCAAATTCTGCTTTGTTTCTTCAATGTAAATCCAAGATAATCTCTTGGACTTCAACAGAGATAATTTGCTTAATCCTAATTTTCCAGAGTATCTCCTGATGAAGTCTCCTCCCACTGAAGATGGTGTCATTATGACTGTGGCCCTGAGTGTGCTAAATGGATTTCTAATTTAGCTCATATATCCATCACATCATATGTGTTTGATTTGCTTACATCGTTCTTACATTTAACCTCTGCCCATTTAGTCACACACACTGTCATTCTTTATTTGTTTACTAATTCATTTTTTTTTGTTTAGTAATTCAGTAATTTTATCTGACTAGTCACGATTAGACAACCATGCGTACATTTTGTATGAAACCATATGTAAAAGTGCAACTCTAAAAGGTATCAGGAATGGATAGAGTGTAACAAGTTGCAAATGTATTCTGTGCAGAGCTCTTCTGCTCCTACTGTGTTTAAGTTTTGACAGTTTGGTTTATGGCATGGGTTGTTTGTTCAAATGCTTGGTTTATATAAGTGCGTTTAACAGCTGCCATAAGTGTACTACAGAAAAATAGTTTATATGCTTCTTATTTATTTTTACTCTATTGTTTGTGAAGTCCTCCAGGACTTTCACAGAAAAACCCTTCGTACTGCTAGGACCAACATTATGGGTATGATGGGCTTAAAATGGAGAGGACCCACAGAAAAGACAACTGTGTTCATCACCAAGTCTTTGGCAGCTGTGGAGAGAACCAAGTGAAAAACCGCCTCAGCTGGAGTTCAGCTACTGACTCCAGTAGGACAGGGTCTCAACTCCTCTACCTATCTCTAGGATTTGTGTACTTTTTAAGATGGTGACACTGGTAACATGGAGCTGAACTTTGTTCTCCCTTTCTCTCTGGGAAAGGAAGCAAGGGTCTTCCTGGTGGTACTGGTTAAAGCAGCAGGAAGGAGAATTCCCCAAGGAATAGGCTTGTATGGCAGGTCTTTCAGGGGGTAGAGGGTAGCACTCATTTATTAGCAAGCATTTTTAAAGCATGGGTCACGAGGTGTGCCACACTCTAGAGCTCATGTGACACGCTGCAGCAGCAGTCGTTCTTCTCTGCTGCTCTGCCTTGTGACTGGTATTAGCAGAGGCAAGGGCTGCTAGTTAACTTGTGACTATGGGGCAAAGGTGTGTTTTGGTTCAGGCTTGTCTTGCGCTGACTGTGTTTTAGGCTTTACTTGCAAAGCCAGGGCTGAGGAGGAAATGCAAATAAAAAGCAAATTCCTACTGATTCAGGTAGCCAGCCAAACAAAGCATACCCACCCATATAAATCCATCACCACAACACAACCTAATCTTATTCTAGACCAGAGTTTGACAAGAGTGAAAAGCATTGGTACCATGCTGTCTCATTTCATGTGTACCTGGCTATCAATGTGACGTGTGGCCTCTCCCAGAACACCTGGCATTGGAGGAGGGGGCTGGAAATGCTGCATCCATGCAGCTGCGGCTGCAGGGATAGCAGCAAGCCCTGGTGAGTCTGGTGTGCTGTGGGGAGAATCCAGCTTTCCTCGCTCTATTCCCATGGTAGAGAGGGCCTGCTTGCATGCTGGCCTGGGGGCTTCTGGCAGGTGACAGATGGGTCTGGTGGAGATCCACTCCTTGGGTGCACTGCCTACCGGTCAGACTCGTGATGGAGCTGCCCAAGGACATTTGCTCTCCAAGCATGCTCCAGCACCAGGCTCCCCTCATGTGCATGCACATGAATACAAAGTACATTTACATGCAGTGCACCTTTTCTCCAAATGCTGGTGACAGGAATGGGAGCAGGCTGTGCCATTTCTCCCTACTGCTGTTATCATCAGCACTCCATTTTCCATCTTCTAGTCAGGGAGGTAAGGTGTTTTTTGTGTAAGTGTACACCCAGTTTGAAATAGGCATGTGGCCAAGTATGGAGTCAGGGGTTTTAATTTAATTCACTGTGTTTAGGATTTAAGTTGCAAATGGGCTTTCTCAGTCAGGGTTAAATTTCAGTGTTTGCAAAGGCAGCTAAGTGCACTGAGGTTAAATTCATCAGTAGATGCTGTCTGTTTTGTACAGTTTCAGTAACACAAGCTGTCCACCTGATTGGCAGCTAAACTGCCCTTACAACTGCTTTATTTAGCTTGAACATTGCAAATTGATAATGTATTCTACAAAATTTGGTACAGTCTTTTAAATATTAAAGATTTTAATGGAAGCTTTGCTGAAAGGAGAATGTAAAATAAGCTGAAAAAAATGCTCAAAGACTTTAACATCTGAATCAATTTATTCTGGGCAGCAGTTGAACTAAGGTTCTGTCCACTGTGTGGACTAAAACCTTTGTTGATCTTTTACTTCTTTTACTTCAGAGTAGTACTGTAAATCATGTTTACAAGATCAGAATTTCTTATCTTATTTTAACTATAGTATAGCACAGAGTAGGCAAACAGTTGAAGTAAGTGTTGAGTTGCATTTAGTTGAAAGAAGGCATATTTGGTTGTGTTGGATTAGGTAAATTTTAAAACTTTTTGGCTTTGGCTGAGAGAGTTCTGCTATTGTTAAAGGTACAAAAAATAGAAGAGGTATAGAAAGGTTTGTTTTCTGATCCATTGTCTTAATGCTTTTTAAAAAGCAGCATTGGCTCTTATGTGTATTCTGCAGCTGTCATCCTAACGTGATGAAAAATGGCCTTTTCCCAGGTGACTCCTAATTCCATGTCTTCTTATCTAGCAATGTGCTACCCTCCAAATATAGATATATTAGCTCAGTCTTTTTGCACAAAGCACTAATAAATGACATGTGGGCACTTCCTTCCATGATACGCACCCTATTTACAGGCAAGCCTGTCTCCATGTGGCTGTAAGCATGGACTCCACCCCATCCCAGCCTTGCATCTCATTTCTGACCTACATTTTGTCTTCTTTTCACAGTTGTGCATCACATCAAGCGCCACAATATTGTTCTCAAAAGAGAACTGGGAGAAGGAGCCTTTGGGAAAGTCTTTCTGGCAGAATGCTATAACCTGTGTCCTGAGCAGGGCAAGATCTTGGTGGCAGTGAAGGTAAAAGAGTCTAGAGTTTCTGTTATTAATTCATGGTTGCAATTATGTAATTTTATTTGTAAATGATCATGTTTGCTTATTCCATAGTCCAGTGTAACTGTTCTGATATATGTGGAGGAGTTCACAAGGCTAATGAAGAGATGCAGTGTTTGATCTTGCTGTGGATTATAAAATGAGACCTGAATCGTATAAGGAAAAAGGGGGAAACAGATTGTGTCACAAGGGGGCAAAATCTTTTACAATCTCTCTAAAATACAGTTAGTGAAAAATAATGTCTAGGTCATTGAAAATACATATGACATATTAATGTCTAAAAAATTAATCTATTGCTAGATAAGTGAATAGTTTATGTGTATAATTGCTAGTCAAAAAGAGCCTTTCTTTTTCAAGGCGGTGCCATTGAAATTATCTGTGGGTAATTGTCATTAATGTATCTGCTAGAAGTGTTAAAACAAACTTGTTGATAATATTGTCATGTGCTGTTAACAACTGGCAGTATGGAAATCCAAAAAGTCATGATATGTCAGACCTGGAGGAGTGATTCTTGATTATATATAGCTCCAGCCAAAATAAAGTCCAGAGACAAGGAAAATACATAAAAGCAGCCATAACCTTGGAGTTTCAAGTATACAGAAGAGTTCTCACATTTTGGGATGGTGGGAGGTGGGGTGGTGGATGGGGGAAGAGAAGACTGATTTGTCTAAAGGGCAAGAGTACATGCTGTATTGGGAATCTACCAAGGATTAAGAAGATTTCCAGACTGATCGCAGATCTTGGAAACCAAACCTATTTCACTGCACCAGGCCTTTTTGTCCCCCAGAATGCAAGGGCTGAGGTTGGTTGTTGTACCTAGAAAACAGTATCAGTGAACACTCTGGGAGTTTGCGAAGTCTCCCTGGAAACAATCTCTTATCTCTGTCTGTAGTGTTCTGCCAAAAAAATGAACAAGGTGTTCAGCATTTGAAGTATCTCATTAAGTGCAGAGGGAATAGACGTTCAGAATTTGGGCTGTGCCTAGGAATCAGAAAATAATTTTATCTGACCAGTCACAGTTAGGCAACGATGTGTACATTTTGGATGAAACCATACAGTAATAGAAACCAAGTAGATCATCTTTTTGAAATAGATAACAAGAAGTAGAGTCTTGGGTCTGACAGTGAGAGATCCTAAAAGGAAGATAGACTTATAGAGTGTTCCTTCAAAAATAACATATTTTTGGGTTTGCCAAGGTTACAAGCTTTTTGATACTTGGGAGTCATTCAGTCACGTTGACTGGCGAGAAAAAAATTAAGCCCTGGAGGGATATAGCACAGACAGGAGAAAGCAAAAGGTAGGAGATGGCAAAACTAGATCCGAATGAATTTTCTATTGTATTTTGGTGAAGCTACAGTGGAAATTGCCTTTCCTCTATCACTTTAGAGAACTGCTTGATAGCAAAATAAAAGTATTTCCATTCACTTGCTCCCTTTGAAAGTCCTGACCAAATGGAGCCTAGCACTTCTGCTCTTAAATGCCACACTTTCCCTCTGATCTCATTCTCCATGTAATTCAAAAGGAAGAGCATTCAGCCTTTAAAGGTAGATGTCTCCATAGATTTAGATGAGAAATCTATCAGTTTTCTGGACAAGTTGTCAAATTATTTTTTTTTTTTTTTTTTTTTACCAAATCCACTCTTTGTAGTGTCCTTAATAAGAATCTTGCAGATAGCTGTGGGAAGAATTACCTCCAGGGACAGGTTATGCCCATTTTATGTTTCTGTCATTGGCTCTTAAAGATGTGAGTCTGGCTGCTGTCAAAGAGTGAATTTTTTGGCAAACTGAGTGGATTGGTCCTCATATAACTGAGGGGTTAATTGCCTGGCACTTCTCTCTTTCACCATGGTAGCAACCATAGATCACAGGTATCCTTCAGTCACAGCGCAGATCAAGGGATGGGACCTCTTGGGAATGCAGAGAGCCAGATAGATGACTGTGTCTGGACCCAACTACTGGGCACAGGGTTTTGCGTTGTCTTAGTTTTAGTCTTAGTCTTAAAAGAGCAGAACTGGGTGGCAGTAGCAGCGAGCAGCTCCTCCTGACACATGGCAAGGACTTTAGAATACTTCACCCCCATGTGCAAAGCCAGAACATACCCATCACCATGAAATACGTTTAGTGTGCCCAGTGAGAATATGTACTTTGTGAGCAGTAAGATGGTGCCAGGGAAATTTCAGCAGCAAGGACGCACAGTCTCACCTGCACAGTGTGGGTCAGAATGACTGATGGTCCCTGCTGGCTGCCTGTGCCTGCCAGTTCATTCCAGGCCCTGAGTATGCCCCCGTTCAAACTCAACATGTTTCCCTCTTCTTTTCAGCCAGCTGGTATCCAAAATGCTGACATTGCTGCAGCAAATTATTTCGAAGCTAAGAGGCCCAGAAAAGTCTGGGAAGATAAAAAAATCAGGCTCAGCATAAACATTTCCATGGCACCTGCACAGGAAAACCAAAGGTTTCCAACTCCTCTGAACTTCAGTTCAGAGAAGGCTCAAAAACACCCCTTCATTTCTAGAGGAAACATAACTGTGCTGCTCCTGCATGGTGATAGGCAGCAATAGCAAGCATTTCATAGGGGAAAGCCAAAACAATAGAAAGGTCAGCTGTCATGAGAGTTTCATTATCAAGTCATTCTGATGTTGGTGTCAGCCTTATCCTCCTGCTCTTGCTCTGACTTGCCCATGAATGCAGTTCTGTGGTGTCGGGGTGGGGTAAGAAGCTGGCAAGTTTGCACTTGCTACAGAGCACAGGTCTGCACAGCCCAGATGGTACACTGACACCTGGGCAAGGGCTCTGTGGAGGAGTAAGCATGGGGTGGTGGTCCGACTGACACAAGGATGAACTCAGCAGATGTGGAGCTCCTGTAAGACTCAGAGGGTCTCTCTGTTGCCCAAGGACACTTGTCCCTCCTCCTTAACTGCTGGCCTGTTTGGCTGGAAAGTACATGTGGTTGAATCTCAGCTCCTACTTGGGAAAACCATCTGTCAACTGGTGAGAGTGCTTTGTATGCAGAGCTTTGGTGTACTTGTCAGTAATGATAATAATAATAATTAATATGTCTTTTTCTCTCTTTGTGTTCTTATGCTTTTATTTTGGTTTTATGTTTTTCTCTTGCACAGAGAACAAGCTAAATGCATTAGTCAATGTCATTTCCATGTAAATTCTATATACTTACTAATTTTTTCACCTTCCAGTCTCCTCCTTGCCTGACTGTGCCAGCTCTCTCTCATGCATTGCGTCTATTCTGTGCACTGCATGAAAAGAATGGAAACGAGATTTTGCAAGGGTGGGTGACAGAAATTAAAGTCACCCCCTTGGTAGTAGAAACCCTGTCTGAGTTTTACCTGAGTTTTAGACCTTTCTGCATTTTACTGTTTGACAGAAAATGTGAAATTGCCATGGCAACTGCTCTGTCATATGATAATTTTGCTGTTTCTTTGAGATAAAAAGCATCTTCTCAAATATGCAATATGCCATCCTCACAGGACAGAGCTGTCAGCATTTTTACTGTCTTT